ACAGAAGTTGGCCTCAATGCTCTTGAAGATTCTTTCTGGTTCTAAGTATATGATTGCATGCCTAACCATAGTGGGAACTAAGATGAGGAGAGGCTGATTCTCATAAGACTCTTTTGAGAGTACCAAATCCACCAAACAGTGGATTTTGGTAGGTAAGAAAAGCCAGGATCCTTTAGAGTAGACATAGACACAATTTTTTGAGGGTGTACAATAACAGTTAATTTCTTTACCTTTAAAAAGAAAATCAACAGAGTAAAATATAATATTGTGGGACTTGAGAACTCCAGATATGAATCTTAATTTTGATGCTTATTAGCTGTGTGACTATGGGTAAGTCATTTAATTTCTCAGTCTAAGTTTCCTTAAGTATAAAATTAAGGTAATACTGTAGCAGTAACTACTGCGCTGAATTGTTGTGAGGATCAAAAGAGAAAATGTTATTTAGAGCACTTTGTACATCCTAGAGAACCATATGAGTGTAAAAGCTATGGCCATTGTCATCATTATTCTACTCCATCTAACACCTATGTGGCTGTCCCTCATGCTAGGAATGCACTCCTACTTCACCTCTGCCTCTTAGAATCAATCACTTGTTCTGTTTAAAATTCTGTTCGACACTTTCTACACAAAGTCTTTCTTGTTCTATTAGTATCCTCTCTCCCACCCAATTTTCCTTGCTTTTTTCTTTGAATTTATTTGGATTTGTATTTCCTTTGTAAAGATTCTGGCCCTCTTCTCTTCTCCCTCAATACTATTTTATTTGATGATCTCATCAACTCCCATGGATTCAATTATTATTTCTAATTCTGATGATTCTCAGATCTACTTATCCAACTCTACCATGGGGCAGCCACTGCCATCAGTGCAGTGCTAGGACTGTGTTCTATGAGGCAAAGATGAGCAGGCAATGCATTTCAGGCATAGGAGATGGCCAGGGCAAAGGCACAGCAATGGGAAATAAAGTACTGTGTGTGAGCAACAGAGAGAACACCAGTCTGACAACTGCAGAGTGTGGCAATGTCCAATGAGTCTGGAAAGATAGGTCAGGAAAAGGTTGTGAAGGGCTTTAAAAGCTAAACAGAGGAGAGACCATAGGGAGACTACTTGAGTAGAGGAGAGACAGGGAGTCAGAATTACAATTAAAGACAATCACCTTAGTAGCAGTATGCAGGATTGACTGGAATGGGAAAGGCAAGGCAAGAAGGCCCCTTAGGAATATGTTGTAATAATACAGGAGAAATGCACAGGACGCTGATGAGGTCACCAATGGAGAATGTATGGAAGAAGAAGAGAAGAGGGCTGAGAACAGAAGCTTGGGAAGCACATGAAATAGGAGTTATGATATTAATAATTATTCCTCAAAAGAGGCTGTGAATGAATGGTCAGTCAGGTTGAAGGAGAGCCAGGAGAGAGCAGTATCATGAAAACCCAGATAAGAGAGAGTATTCAGGAGGAAAGGGTGGTAAACAGTGTCAAATACAGCAAATAAGACAAGAACCATGAGGACTAAGAAAAGACCATTGGCTACAACAATTAAGAGATCATAGGTAACAATGGAGAGAGCAGTTTCAGTCAGTCATTCAACAAGCATTCATTAAGCACTTACTTTGTGCCAAGCACTGTGCCAAATGCTGGGGATCCAAAGAAAGGCAAAAATGTGGTCCCTGCCTTTGGAAAGTTCAAGCATTCCAATGGTGGAAATAACCTGGCTCCATCTGTCACTCTCCAGACTTTTCTATCTCCTTACCAGCAGCATTCTCACCCTGGAGATGCCTCTGCCACGTGGCCCTACTCTAATTAGTGCATCCTTCATAAGATGCCCAGGCCATGTTCACTTCACTCCTGACTACACTTCTCATCCACTCTCTGCCTTACCATTCCTCCTGTCCCCTCCCCATCTTTCCCATTTTCATTTTATGTGTTCTATTCCCCCATTAGAATGTAAGCCTCTGGAATGTAGGGACTTCTTGTTTGTATTTGTAGCCCTAGCATTTAGCAAAATGCCTGCAAATTTTTAATAAATGCTCATAGTTCTCTCTGTGTGTGTGTCTCTCTCTCTCTCTCATTAGAGAAGAAATCTCAGAGGGAAGTCATGTGGAGGAACAAAGGGATGGAGAAAGACCTTGTCTAGAAGGTGGGATCTGAGTTGAGTCTTGAAAGTATCCAGGGAAGCAGGAGGTAGAAGAAAAGAGGGAGAGCATTTCAGGCATGGGAGAGAGTCAGTGGAAGGTCAAAGAGTTGGGAGATAGAATGTTCTCTGTAAAGAAGAGTAAGAAGGCCAAAACTGCTAGACTGTATGAATGGGAGTAAAGGGCAAGAAGATTTGAAGGGCAAAAAGATATGAAAGGCAAGAAGGAGCCAAGTCATGAAGAGTTACAAATGCTGAAGATGATTTTATATTTGATCCTTGCAGTAATAGAGAGCCACTGGACTTTACTGAGTAAGAAGATGACATGATCATGAGGTTTTTTTGTTTTTTTTTTAGTTTCACTTAAGTGATGACATTGAAAGTCAGACTATAGGCACAGCAGAAACTCCAGCCTTAGAGTCAGGAGTACTTGAGTTCACATCTGGCCTTAGACATTTGACACTTACTAGCTGCATAACCCTGGGCAAGTCACTTAACCCTGATTATAGCAGTAGCAGCAGCAGCAGAAGAAGAAGAAGAAGAAGAAAAATAAAGTCAGATTATAGATGTTGAGAAGCAGATGACAGAAGAGTAAGAAGAGTTATCAATGGGGATTTTCCAAGAGTTAGGCTGTGAAAAGGAGAGATATAGAATAAAAAGATAATGCTGTCTAGTGAAGTTTAATTTTAAGGATGGGGTGACTTGGCCCTGTTTGTAGCTGTAGGGAAGGAACCAGTGGACAGTGAAAATAGAAGACTAGAAAGAGAAGGGATGATTGCTGGGGCAACCTATTTTACCCTTACAGAGCTTGAATTCTTAGTAAGTATTTCCTTATCTTGTTTCATGAAGTGAAAAAATATAACTGATGTGGAGAATTTATGGGAAGACAAGAGCTGTATAGAATGGGTAGTCATGGATATGCTGCAGTATGCATCTTGGAGGGAACTTCTAATCCATTAGATAGCATACAGTTGAATGTGCATCTTTATAGTGAGCTGAAGTCTACCTTGTGGTAATTAGTCCTATTTTTGACCTTTGGAATCAAGGAGAACAAGTGGAATCCCTCTTTCATAATTTTTAAATCTTTGAAGGAAGTTAATGCATATAAATAATTTTGTAAACTATCAAACAGCTACACAGATGTTAACTATTATTATATTTATTGGCCAAAAATATTTAGGCCAAATAACTGCTTCCCAGGGAGTAAAATGAGAACCTATGTCTTCAGTAAATAGTAAAAGCAAACGTGATCAGACCTACATTTAGAAGATCACTTGGGCACCCATTGAGTGGAGAATGGACTAAAGTGGCAAGAGACAAAGCCTAGAGACCAAGCAAAAGGCTTGAGAGTCGAGGTGTGAAATGATGTGAGCCAACATGAGGGTTATGGTTGCAGAAATAGAGAGAAGGGGATATATACAAAGAATGTTGTCAAGGGAAAAACAAGAGTTGGCAACAGATTGGATATGTAGAATCAATGCCAATAAGGAGCTGACAATAGTACTAATGTTGTCAGAGCTCCACTTTGGACATGGAGGGTTTTAGATGCCGACAGGATATGTAGTTTGAGATGTACAATAGTTGGTGATGCAAGACTGTAGGACACAAGGTTAAGATTGGATAAATCTATCTGAGAATCATGTCATGGAAATGATAACTAAACCCATGGAAGTTGATGAGATCACCAAGTACGATAGTATAGAAAGAGAAGAGAGGAGGGTCCAGGATAGAGCCTTGGGGACACCCACATTTGACAGGTATGATCTAAAGGAATATCCAACAAAAGAGACAGAGGGAAAAGTCATAAAGGTAAGAAGAGAACCATGCAATCTAGAGAAGAGATTATTCATGACAACACAATAATGGACAGTGTCAAAGGAAGGAAACAAGCATTTATTAAACAGGCATTGTACTAAGCACTTAACAAATTTTATTTCGCTTGATCCTCACAGCAATCCAGGGAGGTAGGTACCAATCCTGGATGGTTGAGGAAACTGAGGCAAACAGAGGTTAAGTGACTTGCCCAGATTCACACAGCTAGTAAATATCTGAGGCCACATTTGAAATCATGTCTTCCTGACTCCAAGCCCAGTGCTCTATCTAGCATGCCAGAGAGAGGTCAAAAAAGAATGAGGATCAAGAAGAGGCCATTTGGCAATTGAGAGATCACTGGGAACTTTGAATAGAACAGCTTCAGCTGAATGATGAAGTTGGCAGCCAGACTAAAGGGGGGCTAGAAGACAGTGAGAAGTAGAAGCACCAACTGTAGATGGCCTTCTGAAGAAGCTGACTCACAAAAGGGAAAAGAAATATAGTACAACAGCTATTCAGGATGGTGGGATGTGAAGGTTATGACCAGGGAACAGTTCGTTCATCACTGCAGGAAGATACAGATTTTCAAGGTCCATAGGGCTTTGGCCTCAGGATAGAGTCCTTTCAGGAACTTAATCGGTTTAGCCAAAGGAACAAGTACGTGGAGCCAAATGAATGCTTTAAGTGTCCTTTCCCTTCAAAGCAGGAGGCCAGGCTAGTGACTTGATAGAAGGGCATTTCTCATTTTCCTTCGAATGGAGTTTGGTGGTTAGGGATTATAATGTATAGGGAAAGGTGGAATGCTAAGAGGTTATAATCAGATAAGGGAAAGGAAGAGAATTAAGCAGGTTTTAGGTGTTAATTATAAACTGAATTACAGAAATAGAAGAGTAAAGTCAAGGGAAACGACCATTTGTTGAAGTTTAGAGGTGAGGGAGGCCAGCATGAAGACAGGAGGGAGGAACAATTTTCTAGAATAAAGCACATGATGATGTCCAGAAACAATTCATCTGTGTTGCCAAATTCCTTCTAGTCCTCATGAGGACTTTCTGGTACTCACCTGAGGGCATTCAACTCATCATTGGACACAAAGAAGCTCTGATCAACTGTACCAGTCTGAGACTTCAGGATTTTCAGCTCTATGTCCAGCTAAGAGAGAAAATACCAAGGAAGGAAAATAAGTTAAGATGCTTGTGATTACTTCCAGCCCACACTCCAGCAAAGAAGTGACAAGTTCAAAGAGCACTCTAGATCCATGTCCCAAACCCTGTACTGTGGGATCCTGAAGAAAACATTTAACTCACATTTCTTAGGGTGGGCAGGAAATCCCATTGCTATAGACAGGGAAACAAAGATTCTAAAAACCAGGAGATCTCAAATATGACCTGGCAAATTCAAACTCTTCCTCTTCTTTAACATGCCAGTGACAAAAATAATTCAGTTTTTGTGTAGCTACAAGAGCTCACACTTTCACATCTAGAAAATTTTTGGAAGACTAAGGGAGTAACTGTCTCCACATGCCTCCAACTAGACTGGAAGAAAAACAACTTCAATCTCATCATTCAATCCATTCACATTTTGAGTTAAGCACCTGGGTCACAGGACAGTCATAAAAACCTGAGCTACTGTTGTCTGTTATTCTTGTTCTTCTCATGTTATAATCAATGTTATAATCAGATTGAGATGGGCCAAGAACACGTCACTGTCCTATTAGTGTTCTTTTATATTTGATATTTGGCGTACTACGGTGGAGGTGGATAAGGGGTTAGCTTTTTGTAACTGAACAAAAGTAGCAAAATGAGCTTATCTCCCGTAGACTGACTGACAACGTTGTTGAGATAAATTAACAGCACAAAGTATGACAGGGATGATTTGTACTTCATCCTATTCCCATGCAGGTTTGATCTATTATATGAGGTCTTTCTATTTTGAGAGCTTTTCATTACAAGGGGTGTGGAGCTTATGAGTATTCAGCATAGCAACATCTAGTAAAACTGTTTTTGAATTTTTATGGGCAACTGTAGGGAAACAGGTTTGCCTGTGATGATGCTCTAGTTCTTGCACAAATTATTTGTTGAATTCTCAAAGACATTTGGAGGTTTGTATTCATAATATGGAGAAATCTGTTGGTTTATGAAGAATGGAGAGCTTCAGGTGTGTAACTCTTGCTATTGGAAATTATCTTTCTAAGTATTTGTAGATAGTATGGTTTTTGTAATCCATAGTGCTTATGAGCTACTATTTAACAACAGCTGCTAAGAAAAATGGACAGTAGGGGCAGCGAGGTGGCACAGTGGATAGAGCTCCAGCCTTGGAGTCAGGAGGACCTGAGGTCAAATCTGGGCTCAGAAATTTGACACTTACTAGCTGTGTGACCCTGGGCAACTCACTTAACTCCAAGTGCCTCATCAAAAAGCAAAAGACAGTAGTCTGGCAGAAATTAGACTGAGACTAACACCTCACATCATACACCAAGATAAGTTCCAAGTGGATACTTTATCTAGATATAAAAGGTCACATCAAAAACAGATTAGAAGAGTAAGGAAAAAATTACCTTTGAGATCTATAGATAGGAAACAAGTTCCATGATTAAATAAGCAATAGAAAGGATTGCACAAGATATAATAAATAATTTTGATTAAGTAAAAATTTTTTTTTATTTTTTACATTTTTTTTTCTTTTAGGCAATTGGGGTTAAGTGACTTGCCCAGGGTCACACAGCTCGTAAGTGTCAAGTGTTCAGTCTGAGGCCAGATTTGAACTCAGGTCCTCCTGACTTCAGGGCCAGTGCTCTATCCACTGTGCCACCTAGCTGCCCCTGATTAAGTAAAATTAAAAAAATATTTTTTGTACAAACAAATCTAATATAGTTAAAATTAGAAAGGAAACATATAAACAAATGGGAACAACTTACCAAGTTTCACTGATAAGGGTCTCACATACAAGATATATATAAAGAAATGATTCAAATTTATAAAACTAAAAGCCATTCCCCAATAGATAAATGGTTAAAAGAGATAGGAGAAGACATTTTTCTAAGGAAGAAATCCAAGCTCTCAACAACAATGTGAGAAAAAATGATATAAATCATTAATAGAGAAATGCAAATTTAAACAACTTTGAGATTCCACTTCATACCCATCAGACTGACACAAGTGCCAAAAAAAGAAAAATGACAAATACTGGAGGGGTTATGAGAAAACAGGCACATTAGTGCAATGTTGATGGAGCTGTGAACTGGTCCAGCCATTCTGGAAAGCAATTTAGAACTATGCCCCCAGAGTTCTTAAACTGTGCATATCTTTGACTAGGCCTACACCACAAAGAAATCAAAGAAGGAGGAAAAGGATTTATATTATCAACAGTATTTATAGCAGCCCTTTTTTGGAGTAAACAAAAATTGGAAAATAAACGGCTGTCCTATTGGGGAATGGTTAAACTAACTATGCTATATAGATGTAAGGGAATGATACTATGCCATAAGAACTGATAAAAATGGATCATTTCAGAGGACAATGAAATTTCTACAAAGTGACACAGAATAAAGTGAGAAGAATTAGAATAACAACTTATCCAATGACAATAATATTATAAAGAAAAATATCTTTGAAAGACTTTAGAACTCTAATCAATGCAATGACAAACTGGAATCCAGAAAATCTAAATCTGAAAATAGTACTCACCTCCTTCCAGAAAGGAGGTTAACTTAAAATGCAGAAAGATATACATTTGATCATGATCAATGTGAGAATTTGTTTTATTGGATTACATATGTTTATGATATGGGTTTCATTTTTCATTTTGTTGTTATTCATTGGGGTAGGAGGTAGTAGTAGAAACAGATTATAAATGCATCTAAAATAAATTTATTTAAAAATAATAAAAAGGGGAAAGAGATTGGTCGGGAGTGGGTAACCTTGTGGTGATATATTGCATAGTTTCTACTCTTTCTCTGAAAACCTGAATTGAACAACAGATCCAGTCCCCTAACAGAAGAGTTTTTTGTAATTCTAGTGCAATGACAATCCACTCCATTTTTGTAAACACATCTGCATGACAACCATTTGTCTGATTTTTTGTTTTGTTTTGTTTTGTTTTTTTTGGTGAGGCAATCAGGGTTAAGTGACTTGCCCAGGGTCACACAGCTAGTAAGTGTCAAGTGTCTGAGGCTGGATTTGAACTCAGGTCCTCCTGACTCCAAGGCTGGAGCTCTATCCACTGCGCCACCTAGCTGCCCCCGTCTGATGCTTTTTTATTGACATTTTGTTTGCGTTTATGTGGAGAATGATCATTTTGGGCCTTTTGGTTTCACAGTTGGATCTCAGCTCTTTCATATGCTCACTCCAGAGGTCAAGTAATATTGGTTATTATAACTGTGATTATTATCTTCAACATTATCTCAATCTTGTAATTTTTGACAGGGCCCAATGATTGGTCCAAAGACATGTAACTATGCGGCTATTAATGCTCAGATTCAGCACACTATGCATAATTCCTTGGAAGTTGTAAGCTTCACTATTCATTTATCACCCACTACTTCCTCCATGGTTAATTCTGTCTCCTATTTTTGGCCATTCAAGGAAAGACAGGTGGGATCAGACCTGTATCAGAGAAGAATATGGCAAGGTGCGCTGCTAGTAATTCATGTGCCACTGTAACGTGTTTGAGAAGCTATGGTTTCAGTCACTCCCTGAATATAACTGTTCTGTCATTCATTGTACTAATGGTCTTTGCATATTTATGTTCCCTGTGCCTGGTATATATAGATAGGCATTTAATGCTTACTAACTGAATGATGGTTAATGCAACAATGACGTAAAGGCACCACAACCTTACTATTGCAGAGACCACAGCAAAAATATTCATAATAATAACTCTTATTTCCATAACACTTTGTAGTTAATAAAGTCTTTTTTCATTATAGCAACATTGAGTTGGGAATGTGAATTACAGTATCCCTAATATATAAATAAGGAAACTGAGGCTTAAAGCCCAGGTGCAAATCCAAATTTTCTGGCTCCAAGTTTAGTGCTCTTTGCACTATACCACGTTAACTCAGTTAAATTAATCATTTATCAACTGCTTACTACATGCAAAGGGCCATGCTAAGTGCTGAGGCTTGAGGATAAGGCAAGCCCATGATGTCAATCTTTACATTTATTAAACACATAGAAAATGATGGTTTGATATTTGTAGTGTTTTGAGAATGTGGAGAAAGATTTCTTCTGTAGATAATTCAGGATGTGCCAAAGGGAGAGCCTTGGTTCATTTCGGCATTTCACCTTTCCCGGGAAGATCCACATGACCATAATTCTGAAGCGCATTACTGCATCTCATTCAAGAAGCAGAAATTCTGAATGAAAATGTTTGCTTCATACAATCTTTTAAATATTCAAATTTTTGTTTTGTCAAATCTGTCCAGAGTAGACATAAAAATCAGACAAACTTTTTATTAAATTAATCAGGGCTTGCAGCTTGGAAGTTTAAGATGGGGAAACCAGTCTTATAGAAAATGTTTGCCTTGTCTAACATAACACACTCCAGATCCTAGAGTTATGCCAAGAACTTAGGACCCTCTCTAAAAGAGACAATTCTCTTAGATGACATTCTCTTCACTCCCTTCCTCACAGATGGGCCATCTCAATTGTAGGCTGACCCTTTCTGAACACCTTATAATTATTTAGATAGAAGCTTATTTGGAGGAGTAATAATAGCTTGTTGCCTAGGAAATCAGACCTGGATAAGCAAAACTTTCCAAAAAGCTTCATACTCTATTCTGAGGCAGTTTGCCAATCATCATTAATTGATAAGCAAGAAATAATTTTGTGATTTGTTTCTTCCAACTTTCCTAGTAAGAGAAGGAATGAGTGGTTCTGAGACTTGCCCAGATTTAAAAGAGGCTTGCTAACGGTAAAAAAGAGAACCTGCCTCACAAACAGACTTCTCAGAAAGGAAGGGAGGAAAATGAAAAAGGAAAGCTGCTGCAGGCGTACGGCACTATCAGCCTCTTCTCCCTCAGTGCTTTATTCGTTTGTAGCAACCGCGACTAGTAATTACATCTCTTAATTTACGAGAGCGAGAGAGAGAAAGGAATATAAATTCATGTATTAACTTTAGAGATTGGAAATAGAGAGATTGAACCTACTCTC